GCCACCATGCCCGGCTAATTTTTCTTATTTTTTGTAGAGACAGAGTCTCTCTGTGTTGCTCGGGCTAGTCTCAAACATCTGGCCTCAAGCGATCCTCTTGCCTCGACCTCCCAAAGTGCTGGGATTACAGGCTTGAGCCAACATGCCCAGCTGACAGTATTTTTTTAAATGTGGAATTTCTTCTTTTATGTTTTAAAAAGTACTTTGTTTGCTTTCAGCTGTTTTCAGCTAAAGTGATGGGAGATCCCTTTCTCGTGGAGGAAATAGGCCTGCTTGCACTCAAGTCTGCAGCAGATGAAGCACAGAAACAAGGACAAGATTCTCTTGTGCTGCAACTGGAGACGTTTTCCAAACTTCTGGAACTCTTGACCCTCCGCCACCGGCTGGTAGAACTGAGTTTGGAGAGTGCACACTTAGCTCGGTCAGTAGGGGGACGGAGGATCCAGGTGCAATATAAGTTTTGTGGCAAAACCTGGGGAATAACAAACCATGGGTCTCTCTGCCTACAAGCCGTGTCCCCTCTCTGCCCCCAGAGCAGCCAGAGTGAGTTTTCTAAATGGCTAAAATGATCACTGGCTCCCTTGTTCCTTCTCTCTTGCAAGCCTACCCCCATTCCCGTCTGACCACTCAAGTAGGCTAAGTCCTCCTATTGGCACCTGGGTTTCCTCTCCATTCAGCACATTTTCTTGTAATTAGATGCTTAATATTGGCTTACTGGTTTTCCTGGGAGCATAAGCTCCTTGAATACAAAAGCCCCATCGACATTGTTTACCGTGATATCCCATTACCTGGTATGGGGCCTGAACCACACAAGACACTCAGGGAATATGGTTTGAATTTGCTCTTGAATGTAATGAAGTTGAACAGCAGAGGGCCTAGAGAAAGAAGAGAGATGAATCAGTGACAGCATCTGTTAATAGGTCTGACAGAGGTAGGGAAGGGTTCAGTGTGTAGGAGGAGAAATTAATGAGTTATGTTTTAGGTATGAGTATGAAATGATAGTAAGATGTCAAGCACATATGTTCCATAGGCAGGAAAAATATGCATGAGTGCAGGTGTCAGAAAGAAAAATAAGTAAAAATAAGAAAAAAATTATATGAGTGCTGTTGTGCCCTGGTTCCCATGAAAGGCCCTCATAGACATAAAGAGTCCAGTCACCCACCACCAACCACTATTAAGAGCCTGCTGTGGCCAGGGTCTATACTGGGGACTTCATGTGTATTATTTCACTTAATTCTCAGAATATCCTTATGAGGTAGGTTACATTAACATTTTATCAGCAAGGAAATAGAGATTCATAAAATTAAGTAATTTGTCTAAGATCATACAACCAGAAAGTAGTAAGAGCAGAATTCAAACTACTAGTCAAGATATTATTAACTTCTCTACATAATTTATGATCCTTGCCTGCAGGGAGCTCATAATGAAAAATTACCCATAATGCAGTATAATGATAGTCTACTCATATGAACAAAATGCTAAGGGAGTACAGAAAAGGAGGTATTTCATTCTTTCTAAATGGATCAGGGAAAGTTTCCTAGAAGATGGGCTGTTAGGGATTGAATTGTGTCCCTCCAAAATTCTCATGTTCAAGTCCTAATCCCTAGTACCTCAGAATGTGACCTTATTTGGAGATATGGTCTTTACAGAGGTATTCAAATTAAACTGCAGTTATTAGGGTGAGTCCCAATACAATATGACCAGTGTCCTTATAAGAAAAGGAAATTTGGACACAGACACACAGAGGGAAGACCACGTGAAGGCAGAGGGAGAAGACAGCCATCTATGAGCCAGCGAAAGAGGCCTGGAACAGATCCTTCTCTCACAGGAACCAACTCTGCTGACACCTTGAGCACAGACTTCTAGCCCTTAGGACTGAAACAATAAATTTCTGTTGTTTAAGCCACTGAATACTTAGTGTGTTTCTGTGGTACTTTGTTATAGCAGCCCTAGCAAACTAATACAGGTGCCAAGAATTCAGCCTTAATGTGCCACCTTCTCAAGAGGGAGGAATGTGTTAGAAGTGGGATGTTAGGGAATGGGGAAAGTATTGTAGACATGTCAGGCTGATATGCCAGAGGGACATCTACATGGAGCCACACTGCAAGCCCCTTGGACTTGGGATTGGAGCTCAGAGTCTCCAGTTGGGACAGAGACGAGTGTCACAGGTTCTTACACGAAGGAGTTGTTTGAGGGCCTGGGGTTGCACGTACTCCCCAATCAACTAGGGGATGTAGTAGATGAGAAGAGGGCCAGGTTTGGAACCTCAGGAAACATCAGAATTTGAAAACAAGGAGGAGGAGAAGCCAGTGAAGATAGAGAGAGTGCTCATTAGGCAGGAGCAAGCAGAGCCCAGATCCAGGAGAACAAAGATGTTCTTCAAGGAGGGGACAGAGAGGCCAGCTGTGAGGATCCCAAAGAAAAGTTGGTGAACATTGTATTGAGGCACATTGGTGACTTCATGAGGGCTCTGAGGTCAGTGGCTGGCTTGTAGGAAATGAGAGCTGAGAAAGCGTTCAAGCACATCTCCTACCATCTGTAATTGTCACAGCAAGAGCAGAACATAAGACCATTGTTACTCATTCACCTCACACAGTCCTGGGCTTACTCTTGTTTGGCTTTTGTTTTTGTGCTTGTTCAGGTGTTTTAGTTTTCTTGCCACTTGCTTTCCTTTTAGGAGAAAGCACTAACAAATGTCCTTGGCTTGCTTTTTTTTTTTTTTTTCTTTTAGGCTCTATAAGGAATTGGCGTTGGAGATGGGTTTTGATGAGTTCCATTTGTATCTGAGGCCTGTTCACTTTGAATTTGCATCACACAAGGACAAGGTGGACCAACCACCTCCTGTCTTTATAACCTCTCTGCTGGAGGACAGCAGTCGGGTAGACAGGTGAGCTTGAGAGGGTCGAAGTGAAAATAATGTAGTGGTAGAATAAATAACCAGTGAAAAATAATCCCTCTCACCATTGGACATGCAAGTGCAATCACATTTCTAAATTTTCTTCCTTATATTCTATCTGCCATGATGCCGGGTTTTTTCTTTTTCTTTCCTTTTTTTAATAAGAGGGGGAAAAATAAGACCTCAATTGAGGAGGACAATTGGATTTAAAAACACTGAGTAACTGAGAGGTGAAAACACCACATCAGAGAATGCAAATGAGATGAAATCACAGGCTCAGTAGCTTCCCAGAATATGTTACTTCCAGGTAGAAGGGGGTGTGAGGGTTGGTCTGATGGGGCAAGAGCCATGGAGCAGAAGTTCATGTTTCTTCTCTCACTGTCTTTGGAACCAGAAAGAAGTCACGGAAGGTTTCTGAGCAGTTGTTTCCTTGGAATTATAACACACCATATAAATCTAACATGTAGGCAATATCTGTCAGACTCCTTTGTTGGTTAGCGGCAGAAGCCAACTCAAACCAGTGAAACCTCTCATGCCCATGGATTCAGCCCATTGCCTGAAAGAAAACACTCTTGCTAGTAACAGATCATGAATCTACTCAGTCGGAGGAAGGAATCTTTTTTTTCCTCACACAGTCGGCCTTTGATGTGTAGGGAGGAGAAACTTCTATCTCCCTCTTCTTTCCTTCTCTGCTAGTCTGCCCTTCCCCCTAGGGGAAGGAAAAAGTGACTCCAAGGAGGCAAAGTCACCTCTGTTTTGCTAATGTGGATCACTGCTCAAAATATAAGTCTGATGTGTTAGTAAGCTAAAGGAGCAGAGGTGGAAGGAAGGGGTTAGGATGATAAAATACAACATCCCAGGATTTCTCAACTTTGGCACTACTGAAATGTGGGGCTGGATAAGTGTTTGTTATGGGGACTGTCCTGTGTGACTTAGGTTATTTAGCAGCGTTCCTGACTTCTACCCAGTAGATGCCAGTAGTACCCCAATACCCCACACCCCTCTTCCACTGTTTCTGACATCAAAGATGTCTCCAGACATCACCAAATATGCCCTGCAGGCAAAACCTTTCTTGCACTATCCTGCCACACTAGCTAGACCAAAACAGAACTTACTGTAAGGATACAGAGATATCTGCAGAAGCCAAACGGGAAGTATGATCTGGCTTCGAGTGAGGCTAGGTCTCCAACTGGAAGAAAACATCTGGAGCCGCACTATTCTCTGGCTCTTCAAGGTCCTCCTGCTGAGCTAGTATTTTATACTGCTGTGAAAATAGGGCACATTTTTGTTCAGTTGAAATCCACTAATCAGCACAAACTCTCTGAATGCTCTGTGGTCTGGCCAAGCCATGATGGTCCTCCCAATGATGACCCAGAGGTGCTGCAAGAGAAGGGGAACCTTCTGAATTCCCAGGGTAGGGTTTATGCATTCAAAGAACTTGTGTCTTGAGTTTGTATTTATTTTATGTGTGTTAAGTCCTTAAAGTTGCCACTTTGGAGTGCCATTATAACAACAACATATATAGTTGTCCCTCGGTGTTCATGGGGGATTGGTACCAGGGCTTCCTTTGTTACCAAAATCCAGGGATGCTCGAGTCCCTTATATGAAATGGTATAGCATTTGTGTATAACCTGCTCACGTTCCCCCTTATACATTAAATCATCTCTGCATTACTTACAATAATTAATACAATGTAAATGCTGTGTAAATAGTTGTTATACTATATGGTTTTTGTTTATATTATTTTTTATTGTTATATTGTTACCTTTTATTGTTTTATTTTTTCAAATTTTTTTTTATCTGTTGTTGGTTGAATCCACGGATGTGGAACCCACGGATATGGAAGGCCAACTACACCAGACATCATGAGTATTGTGACTTACATTTTAAAAAGCACATTCGTGCATATTATCCTGCTTAATACGAGATAGGTAATATCCCCATTTACAGATGAAGAAACCAAGATTGTTAGATATGAAATTACTTGAAAAGGTCTCATAGTTATAGACAAAGGACCATGTCCCAAGGTGGGAACTTGGCTGTAAAGACTATTTAGATGGTTGTTGGAACCACAGGAGAAAGTAATAATTGGACAGCATTTAGGAGGATATTCAATGGAAAGAATCAGTGAGGGATCCTGAACAGCTCTGGTCAAGAAGAGGAAAAGCAGGACAGAGCAGTGGAAGGGTGATCAAGAGAAAAGAATTTCAAACACTATGGCATGGTTACCACAACCAAACTGCAGAGAGACCAAGTCCAGTAGGGACCACAAGGACCCCAGAGTCCTTATGGTCTTTCGACTGAAATATCATCTTGTATAAAACTTTGCATTTGCTATTACTGCTGACGTTTCAGACCTGATCACATGCCGTTCTGTTCCATCAAGAATGGGCATTGTTAATCAGTGGCATGTCACATCAAAACAACTTCATATTTCTTCTTGCAGATATTCTCCTCCTACTTTTGTCTTAGCCATCTCTGAGTTAGATGATAACCAAGTTGGCAAATTTAGTTTTTATACAAAAGAAGCCATCCTTAAGGTAAATCGTTTAATTTATTTTTTAAAAAAGAAAATAGACTAAAATAAAGCAATTTGCTCATGTATTCCTTTCAAAAGATCATAATACTTATGCATATAAATTTAGCTCCCATCTATAAGTAAAGCTTTCAACTTCATAAATAATAATAATGGTGGTTGTCTCAGTCCATTTTCTGTTGCTATTAAAAAAATACCTGAGGCCTGGTAATTTATAAAGAAAATAATTTTATTCGGCTCATTGTCCTGGATACTGGGAAGTCCAAGGCGTGGTGGCAAGAGCTTTTGTACTACACCATAGCATGGCAGAAAAGCCAAAAGACAAGCAAACATGAAAAAGACTGGAAGAGCACGCTAAGCTGACTTTTATTAGCAACCCACTCTTGCAAGAAAAGACATGTTCCTGCTATAATGGTATTGATCCATTTATGAGGACTCTGCTCTCATGACCCAATCACTTCTTATTAGGCCCTGCCTCCTGACACATGAACTTTTGCAGGACAAGTTCCAATCATAGCAATGGCCTTGCCTTATTCGATGTGCATGTTACCCTGGTTTGAACCATAGAGATTGCAACACCACTTGTAATAACTCCTGTTAGCTACTTAAAAGAAGCACATGTAGTGAACCATCTTTGCATAAGGCTTTTAAAATGTACGCTTGTCATTTGAACTTTGATCTTTTTAAACCAGGTGGGTGCTGTTATTTTCTCTGCCACTTGGATTTTTTGCTTCTATGTGTGTATTTTTTTAAAACATTGATCTAATCTTGGCTTATAGGAGCCTGCCACTGAGCACATGTTTGCTAGTTCTTCAGAGCCTACTCATCCTTTCCAGACAATTGGGGAACGCTCATGGTGTCCAGCTACAGAGCAAATCAGGCCTGGAGGCCTTCCTGGAATGAAATGCTGCTGAGAGAGAGACTAGATTCAGTCTTATGTCTGAGTAGCAAGGATCTCAGCTCATCCAGCAGTTTCATTCATATATTTACATGTTGAATAAGTGGTGATCGCAACCCTCAACTTCACCTCTTTCTTTATGCAAGAAATGCCTAATATTTTCCACATTTTCTTTCTTTAGCTCTTGTTCCATTCAGGAGTGGAAAATATACAAGTGACCCTTGCATGCCAAGCTGCTCATAAAAATGCTTTGATGGTGGCTGTCCAGCAGGTGTACTTCTATCTAGTCCCTCGAGGGGACCATCCTGCTGATGTCAAGGTCAGCCTGCTTGATAGAGAAGCCGGAGTCATATTACCACTACCACCAGCTAATGTCAGGCTTCCCCCTTGCTTCCTTCCTCCCTCCCTTCCTCCCTCCTTACCTTCCTTCCTTCCTGTTTCCCCTTCTCCCTTTCTCCCTTTCTTTCTCCCTCTCTCCCACCCTCTCTCTTTTTCCTCCTCTTTCCTATCTTTTTATTTTCCTTACTTTCTTCTTTTCTTGCCTCCCTTCTTTCCTACTTTGTGAGTCAGTGCATAACCAATCTTTACTGGGTCTCTTAATTTTCAGTGATGTGCTTATAATTTTTCCTTTGTATGTAACTCTATGATATTGACTGACTAGAATCATTCAGCAGAAAATATCCTGTTCCCAACCCTTACCCTCTGTAGATAAATGATTTCATTGTTTTCTGGTTTATCCTTCCCATAATTCTTTTTGAAAAAGTAAGCAAATACATTTGAATCTTCTTTTTTCCACAAAAGGTGCCATACTATATATACTCCCTTTCTCCAGATTTTTTGGGTTTTTTTGGTTATTGAGATATAATTCATGTAATATAAAATTTACCCTTTAATAGTGTATAATTCAGTGGTTTGTAGTATATTCACAAGATTGTGCTGTCATCACTGTTATCTAATTCCAAAACATTTTAATCATTCCCCAAAGAAACACTGTACCCATTAGCAATCACTCCCCCACCTCAGTCCCTAGCAAGCACTAATCTACTTTCTGTCTCCAAAGATTTGTCTAGTCTGGACATTTTATATAAAAGGAATCATATAACATGTAGCCTTTTGTGTCTGGCTTTTTTCACTTAGCATAATGTTCTCAAAATGTATCCATGTTGTGCAGGTATCAGTACTTCATTCCTTTTTATTGGTGAATAATATTTCATTATATGAATATACCACTTTGTGTTTATCCATTCACCAGTTGACATAGGTTGGGTTGTTTTACTTTTTGGCTGTTAGGAATAATACTACTATGAACATTTGTGTACAGGTTTTTGCGATAACATATGTTTTCAGTTTTCTTGGGTATATACCTGGAAATGGAATTGCTTAGGTTATAGGGTAACTTTATATTTCATAATTTGAGGAACTGTCAAGCTGGATTAATTTATAACTGTCAAACTGTCAAACTCAGCAGACTTTAGACAATTACACTCTATTCTGGAAATAGTCACATTTAGTGCCTCACCCCTTCATTGTGCAAAGTGTTATCTCTCTTCCTGCCACTCCTCCTCCCTCATGTACCCAAGCATTTACATGTATTTGGGGTCAGTTGTGGCTGTGAGATCATTTTACTAGCTAGTACTACAGGGTTTATGCATCCAATAAATTTAATTCGTTTTGGCTTAAAATATTCTAGGAAATAAGTTTGGATCTGAGAAATCATGGTGGCTTGGGTCCAACCAGAAGAAGACATTCCCGAATTGTGAATGGTGGAGAGAGCTTGCTGTTGGCCCCAAGTCCAAAAGCCCCAGACACCCTTACTCATTCTTCAGAAAGATTTCAGGCTACCAGAAGGTACTGTACCTGGCTGGGGGTGGTATTGTTTAACAAAAATGTCCTCTTTTAAGTCAATTAATAATGTAGTGTGGGATTTCAGGAGTCTAAACTCTGAGAGTGGCTGGAATGTGTTTTATTTTTTAAGACCTTAAGTAAAGACCTTGTATGAACACTGAGAAGGCTCACCTCCTTCTAATATACTCCAGTCTATGAAGGACAGTCAACAGTTTGTAATTTTAAGCTCTTCTCTGCTCTTTATCCTCCCCTCTTCTCTTTTTCTCTGTCTCTTTCTCTTCTCTTCCTTCAACTTTAAACTTCGAAGAGGTACGTTTTTCAAACTTTAAAGAGGTAGATCACAAGGAAGAAGAGTTAGAGTCTCTCCAAATTTTCCGTATCTGTCTTAAATTTAGAAGCACAGAACTTCCCTCACTATTCTAGGAAAGGTTTTAGCATTGCTTAGAACAATAGGATTGTGGGTTGTCAGAGAAGCGTGGCCTCTACAGAGATAAGTCTATAAATCAGGGATTCCCTATTCTGTCTTGATCTCTTTTCACCATGACAGGGACAGATATTCATATTCTATAATAATTATGATTACTCTGAGTATTTTATTTGGGCCTACCAATGATACTCTAATTTAATTCTGGCCAATTTAGAATAAAAAATAATAACAGACAAAGCAACTCTACTACTCAGGATGACATTAATCTGCCACACGGCCAGAATTCAAGTGCCTTAAGTTCTCAAGTGTGGATGGAAGGTTTAAGACCAATATGTCTAGTCACGAGGACCCTTGGGAGGTTACTTAGCCCAGGTATCCCTACAGTTAAGGCCAGGAGGACACAAAGGGACCTGGGTAGTACAAACACTAGCACACACTGGGCTATGGAGTTTGGGATCAAGGAGGGACTGCTGATGCATGCTTCAGACACATGGGTGTCGCCAGGGAGGATGGTGACACATCAGCATCCCTGGTGAATCATCAGAAACACTTGAAGCAGGTGAGAACCACGAAGACAGAACCACCTACCCTCCTGCTGCAATGCCCAGTAGCATGAGTTATCTTTGTGTTAAATGTCTGCTTACCTCTCACCTTGGCCTCTCATGTCTCTGCTCACTTGTCAGGGCTCCAGAGGCTTTTGTGTCTATTCAGCTAGAAAAGGTGGGTCTGCGGGACATGATGCTGAACACCTTCCTCCTCAAGCAAGAAACCACGACCGACAGAATGAGGAGCCCCGTGAGTGTGCAGTGAGAAGTGCTCCTTAGAGCTCTAGTCCCCTTCTATATCTGAGCAAATAAAAATTCTTAACTTGGATTCTGTTGCTTTCAACCTATTTAGCTAGGACCATTGAAAACACATTGTAAAGAACTGAAAAGGGGAGTTCATCAAGAGATAGAAAGGAATCAATTCAAGCAGATTATTAAAAATGTTATTAAAATGTCATGTTATTAAAAATGTATGAATTTTTGCAATGCCACACTTGGTTTTGTCACTTTCTAAGTGAATTAGTTTCAGCACCTGCACTGAAATGTTAGTCCCCCTCCAAGGGTTCGGGGGGTTAGACAAAGTGAGCAAGGGCTCTCACCTGGCAACCATCTGGTTATCTTGGTTTTCCAGATACTACTGCCATGTTTCTGTTTAAAGGTTTTTATATTAGCCTAGTCTGTTGAAAACTACTATAAAACTCAAAGCATTAGTCAGTTAAAATTATTCCTTAATTTTATGAATATCATTTCATTATTCATTAATGTTTTGATGAGGAAATAATTATGCTAATGCCTAATGCATAGTTACTTGGGAGAAAATTGGCAATGTTTATAAACTCTAGGCTTTGTCCCTACCTGTGACTAAAAAGGGAGGACTTAAATTTACTTAATCCAGTTCTACAAATGAGATATGATGGAGTCCAGGCCTTCTAATTACTGTTCAACAATGATGAAGGCAAAGGGCCCCTTCTAATAAGTGATTCTCAAAAAATATTGACCAAGTGGAAAAAAATAATAGTTCATTAACTTCTCTTCAGGATTATCCAACACCTATCAGATCAGAAAGAGCTCAGGCAATATAATTACCTGTATCACTTTTGTCAGGGTCTGGGATTTTAGCCTACTTTCTAGCTGATAAGTTAACGTGTTACTGTTCCATGGATGCTGGCAGAAGACACAAGACTCCTAGGTCAGAGACAAAGAACTTTATTACTCACAGCAGAGCAGGCAACATAAGCTAAATGTTTCTATCAGTTCCCCTTGCCTCCTAAGTCTCATGGGAGACTACCTGCAAGCAGTGGGCTTGTGTCACTGGAAAACGCTGAACTTGGGGAACCCTCCTCTTTTATAGAAAACCTGCTCTTTTTCCTAGAGGGAGACATTACCTCATCCCTCAAGATTGCTCTCTGCAAACACAACCCTGAGAAATGGTTGTGAATTAGAGTGGTCAGGGCCTTGCATGCTTGGTATACTCAGCAAGGTGTATAGGAGCAGAAGACACCCAGTATGTCTCCCAAAACGTTTACCCCGAGGAAGACTGTCTCAACTCTCTGGTCTTTTCCTGCTTGAAGTTTGCTATAAGTTTGCACACATGTACTAGGATGGGTAGTTCTAATGGCCAACTGTCTAATAGAACTATCATTCTCTTTTCTCATAGGATGAAATTGGAAAAGTCAAGAGAGACGTTATAGTCGAATATTGTCAAAAGTAAGTATAGTACATGTGAGTGACACGTGCTGCTTTCTCTGACTCTGAATGCAATAACCAGCAGTATGATGTAGACATCCTGACAATGACTCAGGTGGTTTGTGTTTAAATAAACCACAGTTCTATTGGATAAGCCCATGTTAAACTATCTCTGACGTGCAGAGGAATATCAGCAGTGAAGGGCCAGGGTTGCTTTGAAGAGGTTCATGCCTCTGCTTTCAGGCAATAGCCACTGACCCACGTGAAAATTTCTTCTTCGCAGAGGTACTCTATTATCTTTGAAAAGTCCTCCAGGGAAGTAGATCCTGGAACTTCTGTGAGAGGTGGAACAACTTGGATTCTCCTTCCAGACATCGTCTCTTCTGACTTTCAGGTTTAACCGCCACATGTCTCACTATGCTCTACGGGGTGAGATCATGGCATACTGCAACAGCCTGAGAGCCCTGCTGGAAGATTTTCCTACCATCAGGGATACCTTTTTCATGGCAGGGCAGCCACAAGAAAAGAAGGGGTTGAGGGACTCCAAGGAGGGCCTCAAGGCTGACCCCAGGTGC